GATCGAGTCCCGCATCGGGCTCCCTGCTCGGCAGGGAGTCTGCTTCTCCCTCTGACCTTCCTCCCTCTCATGCTCTCTGTCTCTCATTCTCTCTCTCAAATAAATAAATAAAATCTTTAAAGAAAAAAAAAAAAGAAATTGAACAAGCTAGCAAGTACAGGTGAATTCAGGTGAGTTGAGTAGGTATGAGGTGGGACATCAGTGGCATCTGGTATATCATCCAGGCACCCTTTTTCAGGATGCCCTGGCAAGGAAGTAAACCAAGATAGGAAGACATAAGATTCAGGAAAAAGGAGGTTGAATACAAAAGCAAGACAGAGGCAGGAAAGTCCCAGGACAACAGCAATACATGGGGGCCTAGAGATCAAACAATCCAAATTAGTGCCAAAGAACAGAGAATTCCAGCAGAGACTTTTTGCTGATGAAAAAAAAAAAAAAAAGGTGTGTGTGTGGGCGGGGAGGGGGGGGTGGTAGAAAGAAAGAAAGAGAAACTGAAAAATTTCCTGGTACATTTGACCATGTGGGAAGTAGTATTAAGTTGTTTCACAATGTTTTTGAAAAATTGGGGAAAAGCTAAAAATAGATACATAGACAACTAACCAAATGACAAAAATGAAGCAGTTATTATCTCTAGAGAGGAAAAGATTGTTCAGAAAAGGAAGTGTAATCAGAGAACACTGTGTGTCTCAGTAATGAACAGCAGTCATAAAATCATGATAAAGCTGCATTGGAGCAGTGGGTAAGGAAAGTGAGAAGTGTGTAACGATGGTATAATAAGAGTAGTCTTCATATTCTAAGGTGGGAAATCAAATGGCTAATATTTAATATTGAAAAATCAAGAGATAGCAGCAGATTATATCATTGGAAATATGGTGGTAAATTAACAGAAGACATAGTTAAAATTGTTGAAAAGCATTGCCTCTGGGGAACAGGACATAGGGGATGCAAGGAAAGGGTCAAAAACCAGCTATTTCTTATTATATGCCTTATGTTCTACTACATAATTCAAATTGTGTGTGTGTTACTCTAATAGAAAAATTTTAAAAATGTTTAAAAATGAAAGAAAGCACTATCTTCACATATACATTTAAAAACATTTAATGCAGAAAAATCACATAGACCACATCACCATGCAATGAAAGTAGAAAATAACAACAAAGAAGATAATGCTTATTCTTCTTGGAAATAAAATGAACCAAGAAAATACAACAGCCTTCTATATCAAACTTAAGAAGAAAGTAAAACTAGGGGCACCTGGGTAGCTCAGTCAGTTGAGCATCTGCCTTTGGCTAGGGTCATGATCTTGGGGTCCTGGGATCAGCTCCATGCTCAGCAGGGAGTCTGCTTCTCCCTCCCCCTCTACTCCCCTGACTCATGCTCTCATGCTTGCACTCTCTCTCAAATAAATAAATAAATAAATAAATAAATAAATAAATAAATAAAATCTAAAAAAAGAAGAAAGTAAAACTAAAGTTATAGATTATTTAGAAACAAGTAACAATGACAGGAAGACATATCAAAATCCAATGGATGTAGCCAAAATAACAAAAAGAGGAAAAGTTATAGCCTTTGTGAATTTGTTTATAAACAGTTTAGAAATAAATGAGTAATGCAGTAAATCTAAATAAAGTAGAAGAAACAATGCATTAGGAAACAGAAGGTAAAGACCTGATCAATAAAACAAAATCTGTGACAGGACTAATAAAACAGACAAACCTTTGGCAAGTTTGATTAAGATAAACAGATAAAGTGCTCAAGTTGGTTGCCTCTCAGAATGATTAAGCTAGGTAGGTTGTGGTGGGTGATTCCCCTTTCTAGTGATCGATTTAGGAATGGGCATGTTTCTTAGTCCTGACCAATATGATATGGCAAGATTTCTGGAGAAAGGTTCAACACTCTTAAGAAAGAGAGACATAGAAGATGTAGTTAGTCCCTTTCTTTCTCTAGATTTTTGGGTATGATGCTCAGAACTGCTATAATCATCTTGCCGCTAGCCCAAGGGCAGTGCCCAGAGAGTTGCAGAAAACTGGACCCAGAGTCTTGATGTACTGGAGACATCCTGTCTCTGGACTTTTTGTTATATGAGATAATACATTTCCTTATTGTTTAAGCGAATTTGAATCATGCTTTCCTGTTATTTCCAGCTGAAATAATCTAACTGATAGAAGAAAGCCCAAAAGCTAGGTATGAGAGGGGGGAATGTAAGTACAGACACATAAATGATTACCAAAAAATAGGAAAAAATGTAGTGTACAGCTACATTCCAGTAAAATGGATGATTTTTCAAACTTGATTCCAAAAGAGATAGAAAAGCCTGATGAGACCAATAATGACAGGACACAAAAGTTTGTCAAAGATCTATCCCAAAAAAGGTATCAATCCCATAGGATATTAGAGGAGGAATCTATCAACTTAAATTATCTACTATAAGAGGAAGCTGACAGACATTAGAAACTATAAGAAACAGGGCAGATTTAAGGATGTAGGAAGTTGGTCTCATCCAGGCAGTGTCATTTGGGATGAACTTCACCGCCTTCAGTCACGGTCTAATCTGTTCCAGACTTAAATTCTAGGGAATCAGCACCTGCTTGACCAGCTTGGGTGCACGCTGTCCTCTGGAATCAGGTTTGAAGTCTGCCCACCTACCCACATGGACTGAGAGGGGCAGTAAAGCTGTTTTGCCAAAGCAAAGCAGTCTTTGTTACTAAAACCAGGGGAAACTCATGCTGGGTAGGGAACAGTAACAGAGTCCATTCTAATCAGATTGGCAAAAATTAAAAATGTAAAGTGCCCAACATTGACAAGGGTGTCAGGAAATGGGCACTCTAATATACTTTGGGAGGACATGTAAGCTGCTTTTTAGAGACAATATGAGAGTATCCTTTAAGCCAATGATTCTGCTTTAGGAATTTATTCTTCAGAAATAGTCACATGTGCTGTCAAAGATAGCATCCAAAAAAGTTATTTATTGCAGCATTGTGTACAACACTGACCAATTGGTAACTTTTAAAGTGCTGGTTAAATAAAATATGGTATAGTATTTGTACTATGGGATACTATGTAATCCTTAAAAAGAAAAAAAGGTCCATAGAAAGAGCTCCATAATATATTGCTAATCAAAAGAACAACTGCATAAACATATGTAAAGTATAGTCCCACTTATGGTCTTTAAAAAAACATAAATAAGTGTTAGATGCATACCAAAAAGTCCGGAACCAAATCCACACCAAATGTTCAACAGCAGTTACCCATAGAAAGAGGAACAAGACCGGGTGCAGTGAAAGGGAACATTCACTTTTACTTCTTCGTATTTCTGTAGTGTTTGAGCTACATGCTTACAGTGAGCATGAATTTCCGCCTATGTGTGTTTATGAACATGTAAAAATATGATGTGACCCAATTTTTAAAATACATGCACCTATTGCTACTGAAAGGAACATGGACTGGCACCCTTTATGTTAACATCGATTGTGGTTTATAGGCTTATAGGTGATCTTAATTATCTCTTTTGCTTATCTGTATTTTAATTTTATAAAAAGAATATTAGTGTAGTAAAATGATTTACATAGAAATTTTTATTTCCTTTTGGAAATAAGTTGCTACCATGTAATTTATAAATAGATATACATTATTACTATAAAAATGGGCAAGAATTTGTGAATAGGAAAATCACAAAAGAAGAAATATGAAAGGCTGATGCTCTGAAACTCTCTAATTCTAAAGCACAGAGTTTGGCATAAAGTAAGCCCTCAATAACCTAGTAATCACATTACACCTTCCTTATTATAACAATAGGTGAGTATGAAATCTAACTGTGGGACTATACAATGTATCATAGGGGTGGATGAGCCACCTGGGTGACTCAGTCTGTTGAGCATCCGACTCCATTTTGGCTCAGATGATGATCTCAGGGTCCTGAGATCAATCCCTGCATCAGGCTCCACGCTGGGAATGGAGCCTGCCTAAGATTCTCTCTCCCTCTCCCTCCATCCCTCCCCTACCTGACTCACATGCACACACACTCTTGCTCTCTCAAAAAAATAAAATAAAATAAAATGTGACTATCATAGAAAGCCATGAAAACTATACAAGAAAGGAAGTGGCTAAATCCTGAATGTAAGAATGCTGTACAATGAAGCCATGAGAGTCCCAGGAAAACAAAGCCTCTCCAAGGGTGCCCACCAAACCCCCAGAGAAGCTGTCAGTCATGTTTTTAACATGCCAGGATGGCTTTCCTGAGAAGGCCACATCCTTCTGGTAAATACAGGAGAATAGCAGGGGCAGGAAGAGTCAGCAATCTCCATGAGGACTCATCCAAAGCTTGGCTTCCTGAGAACTGGTGTTGCAAAACAAAGTGATTGTTTTCTTTGCCATGGGAGGAAAAGGAAGGAGACGTGGAAACCAGAAGACCATTTTTAAAGAAGAGTATTCAGTTTTAAGAAGAGGACACTCACCCTACACGCCAAATCTTCCCTCTCCTCCACCTCCTACCCATTACGACCTTTCCAAGATTTTTATCCTTGAAAAGAAACAAGTCAGTCCACACTCCAACCAATACAGTCTTTTTTTTCTAGTATTTTATTATAAAAGTAATATATGGTCTATGTAGAAAAATGAAGAAAGAAGATGAAAATCACCAATAATCCCATCACCCTGAAACATCACTTTTAATATGTTGGCAAATGTTAGTCTGTTTCGACATTCCTGAAATCATATATACCTACATAATTTTCTTAGGTAACCTATAACATAAACATTTCCCATGTTGCTACGATCTCTTAATAAAAGTAATTTTTATCTGCCATGTGGATGTATGCAGAAGAGTCTTGATGGCGAGAAGTGCTGAGACACAGAAGGAACCAGGACAGTCAGTCATCTGGGACCACATTGTCTGTGACTTTTAGGACAGGGAGGTTCAGGATTCACACAGATGACTCTGAAAGCGTCCTTCTTCTTTGGAACTGCGGCATCCTCTTGTCCTCCCCAAGGGGAACTCAGGTCAGGCGTCCTGGCCTCTCTGATTCTCTTCCCTGGGTCACAGGCAAGACAACGGAGACTAAATGTGGTTCTGGTAATCGGAGGCCTCTGCCTCTTCCTCCGGATGCAAGAGAAGTGAGTAGGTGATGGTATTCTCGGCCTAGAGAATGCAGAAGGGAGCACATGAATGAAAGCAACAGAGGAGGAGGGGGAAGGAGGAGATGGCTGGGGTGACTCACCTCAATTTTGGCAGCCTCTTCAGTATCAGTGACATTGGCTGTGGGCAGAAAGAACAGAGATCAGGGGCGCCCAGGGTGGCTCAGTCAGTTAAGCGTCTGCCTTCCGCTCAGGTCATGATCCCAGGGTCCTGGAATCGAGCCCTGAGTCTGCTTCTCCTTCTCCCTCTGCCCCCACCCCCGGCCCCCACTCATGCTCGCTCTTTCTTAAATAAATAAATAAAATCTTAAAAGACTTTAAGATCAGCCAGGGCGTGGCAGTAGAAGAGGGTCCACCATGCTGCCACGGAGGCTGCAGAACGAAGGCCTGAACCAGACATGAAACAAGGCCCTGTAGGCCCAGAGCTCCATTCACCGCCCCAACCCAGCCTCCCCTCCGGGCCACACGGGCAGAGGGAGGCCCTCATCTGTGCTGCATGCTTTTCAGAGAATTGCTGACTTTTTCTAGAAGCCAACCAGCCAGCTTTAGGGATCGGAGATACTGGGGAAGAGATGTGGGGATGTTCAGTATCACAGGGAAGTCAAGTCCAGATTTTTGCCAAGCACGGTCTTCAGGGAAAGAAGACTGGGGGCCGTTTCAGCACTGGCCAGATACAGCGCATCCTCGGGGTCACCTTGAAGAATGCTCCATGACATTCAAAGGTAAGAAAGAGCAACAGTGAAAGCGAGGGAGGGAAAGAGGGAAGCAAGCCAACAAGCCAGTACTTTCCCTGGTAAATAGCTAAAACACACCAAATTCCCGCAGGTTTTTTGCCAATAAACTCACTTTGCCAGTGTGAAAAGTAGTCTCACTAACTGCAAAGCAGCATTCCTCAGGCGGGGGGTGGGGGGGTGGGGGGTGGTGAGACAATGCATCTAGTGTCTCCACTCACCCCTGCACACAGAGAGTCTCTGTTTTCCATGCTCCAGATTCTAGAACAAACCACCTCCTGAATTCTCCTTCTAATGCATTTCTCAACAATGCTCGCTGATGGGAAACCGTTGAGCCCCTGTGCCTAGCGGTGACATAAGTGATTGTGAAATGTATTTGTGCCAGGGGGTAGACAGAGCCAGACCTCCAAGGGGCTGTTCCAGTTGTGTTTGGGCTTTTTTCTAGATCTGGTCTGGCCTGGTGCAGGCTCAGGCCCGCATCCCCGCTTGACGTGGCCAAGAACACAAGGGCCTTGCTCAAAGCACAGCGGGACAAGTGCCATTTTGCTCAAGCTCTCGAATCTGTTGGTTCCGCTCTGAGTCACACTCCAGCCACCTGACGCAGAGTCCTCAAGGGCCTCTTTTTCCTCTGATTCTGTTGTCCAGGAGCCCCTCGAGAAAGTTCCAGGTTCCCTCGTGCTCTGGCTTAGCCACAGTCAGGAGGTCGCCTGGGACACTCCTGCTCCCACCTGGGCCAAGGGTTGGACAGTCACTGGCTCCCAGAATGTCAGACCCGGAAGGGCTTTGAGGTCATCAGGCCAATCCACTCATTTCCTCAGGGAGGTGCACCCCACGGTAGGGAACGTGCAAGGTTGCACTGGCTACTGGTGACAAAGCTGGGGCCAGGCCCGTGTTTAATAAACTTACACACGCAGGCATCAGAGCCAAGCTTCGCCCAGCAGTGAAGCCCACGAATGCACCCAGTCCCCTAGAACCTTCTCCAGCCCGGATGTCCTCGTAATGCCCCACCCCTCCCCCATCACTCCCCGAGACAGAGTCCTCAACATGTCCAGGGATCATTCCCTAGGTCTCCCTCTCTTTTCTTAATCCCGTGTGTCTCAGTCTAACCACTCCTGGCCTCTGTCCTGTGTCAGCTCTGCCAAACCCCACAGAAGGACCCAAATGTCTCTGATGTCCTGCGCTGCAAAGGCTCCCAGCATTCCTGGCTCCAAAATTCAGACACAGCCCTCCCCTCTCTATCTGCAACAGGTGGTCCTCTTCCCCTCATCCCCAGTGAGGTCCTCTTTAGGCCCAGGAGTTAGTCTCAGAACCAACCAAGCGATTTGAGCCCCTGCCCTCCTCCCACCGCCCCCCCGCCCTCTGCTGTGCTCCCAGCTGAACTCACACAAGCCACTTCCTGCGGGCTCCAATCCACTTTGAGCCCCCAAAACAGGGAGCTGCACTCACCTGGTTCCTCAGGGAGGGTCTCTCCCAATTCCCTGTGCTTGGGGTTTCCTAGGGGAGCTATGAGGGGGCACAGAGGAGGTTAGTAGGGTTATAGGGTGGGGCCTGAGTCCTCAGGCGAGGACCAGGGGCAGGATTGGGTTAGAACCAACAGAGACCCGTCCCCCCAGAGATGCCTCCCCTCCTCCCCATTCCCCGGCTCTCCTGCCCGGGGCCTGCCCAGCCTGTAAAAGGGCCACTGAGTTAACCTTGGGAACCCCTGGGGCTGTCAGAAAGGCCACTCGGCTGCATCTTTCTCAGGCTTGCTCTGCCTTTTAAAAAGCTCCTTTTCCTCCCTCTCAGAATCTCTGTGCATCTCCGTATTTACTTATCGGCAGTAACTGAGGGCCTAGCTGTGTACCAAAGTGCCTCGTGAGGTATGAGGAGTAGTCCCTTCTCCTTCTCAGTGGCTGGCAGTCTTCTTTCCTCTTCTTTCTCTGGTGTCTTTAGACTTTTTCTCCAGCAAGCTAGCTCTCCAGTGTGACGAACTGTGACAATTTGCTTATTAGATTTCTAGGGCACCTCGCCTCCTCTCTCAGCTCCTTCAGGATAGTGCTAAGGGGAAGGAGCTGCTTTCCGAGAGTCGAAGTTCTTCAGGGCGCCCGTCTGTGAACAGACGTTTAGGGACACCGTCTCCGGGCCTGGCAAACCGCGCTGGGCCTGGCAAACCGCGCTAGGCGCGGGGGCAAGGTGGGGGGCAGTGAATGAGCACTTATGGTGACTTCCTTCCCGTAGTCTGGCCACCCACTCTGGAGCACAGTTTCCTTCTCTAATGTGGCCTCTGTGGTCTGCATGACGCGGCCCTTACCCATTTGTCTGTCCCGCCTCATCCCTCCTCCCTCCTCCCTGTGCCTTGCAGTTTATGGTTTCAACGCTTCGCACCCCTTACTGCCCCCTCCTTGCGCCTCCCCCAGCGCCTGTCCCAGCCCAGCCACAGTGTTCCTCCTTTCCATGCCTTGGCCCCCACGCCTGTAATGCTCTTCCAGCCCCCTCTGCCTGGCTGACCTCTACCCCTCATGAGAACGGCTCTCTCTCACGTGCTAAGTACTCCGCCCTGGGATGAACGCTCAGCCCACATTCATCCTCACCCAATCCTGCGAGGTAGGTTCTATCAGTGTCCTCATTTTCCAGATGAAGAAATATAGGCACAGAGATACTGAAGAACTCCCCCAAGTCACACAGCTGGTGCGCTGTGGAGCTGAGAGTTAAATCGTGCGGCCGGCCCCCCACGCGTGCTTTGGTCACAAGATACACCACTGCCTCCTGTGAAAGCGTCTCTAACCACTCGCCCCACGCTGCGTCTCGTGGGCCCGCGTCCCCCGCTCCCCCCATCACAGCCTTTGCGACTCTACCATGGCTTTCATCCCACCTAATTCTAATGATTGACTGGTCCTTCTGTCTTCCCCACGGCACCGTGAGCTCCTTGAGAGCAGGGACTGGACTCCTCATCATCCACAGTGCCTAGCACAGGGCTCCACCCATAAGCAAGATTTTCCAAGCCTTGTTGAGTAAATGAATGAATGCGGTGCCTGGGCGGCTCAGTCGGTTAAGCGTCTGCCTTCGGCTCCGGTCGTGATCCCGGGTTCCCTGCTCTGCGGGGAGCCTGCCTCTCTCTCTGTCTCTCATGAATAAATAAAATCTTTTAAAAATAAATGAATGGATGAAAGAATGAATGAATAAAATATGGGGCTACCTCTGAACTATAAGGATTCTCTTGGCCCAAAGAGGAGGGTCCTGGCGATGGTCGGGGTTAGGGCCTTGGCCAAGTAGGAACTGACAGCAAGAGAAACCCAGAGAAGCCACGAACCTGAAGTTTGCTTTTGCCTGAGGCGGAACCAGGCCACGGCAGCAGCGAGGATGGCCACCGCAGCGGTTCCGGCAACCACAGCCCCAAATGTCATCACCACGGAGGAGTCGCTCCAGCTGGACCCTGGGGGAGACAGACCTCAGGACAGGCAGTAGCCTCCCACCTCCCACGCTCTACCCCAGTGCTGCTCCCCGGGAGCTGCTCTGTGTCCGGGTCCCTTGTCCCTTGTCCCTTGTCCGGGTCCTCCCCCAACCTCACCTGCGCGGACCGCACTGCGGCTGGACTCGTGCCTCCCCCCTCACAGGTGTCTCCGCTCATCCAATAAAGGCACACTATTGAGTGTGTGGGGGCCGAGCTCGGGGAGAGAAGGAAGGGGACCCGAAGCCTCCCCTAACTGGAGGCACCGCGACTGGATCCCACAAGGCCTTGAACTGTCGGGGACCCGTCATGCCTTGCTTGGGGAGTGAACGGGCATAACATGAGAACTAAGAAGAAATGAGAAAACCTCAGCTCTTGGGAACGTCCGGGAGCTTAAGGAACCCCTGCCCCAGTGCGGGAGCTCTGCTCCATCACTGTCCTTAGGACTGACGGGGCCTGCATTTCAAAGGGCACACAGCCTTTCCCCTGTGACCTGAAGCGGAGGGCCCCAAGCTCTAGCCCCTCCTGCTGCCCACGGCCAATATTTCTCATGGCCCCCATTCCTCCCCGCTTCGCCTCAGTGCCCAAGGGTTTGCCCTCTGGCATTTCTCAGCTCCCAGGAGGCCCATAGGACCTTAGCCATCATTGCCCATCCCCTAGTCATCATCCTCCCTCCATCTTGGCAGAGTTCCCACCTTGGACAGTGATGGCCACAGGCTGTGAGAAGCGCAGCATCTGCCCTATCATTCCCGTGCAGTGGTAGTTGCCACTGTGGCTGAGGTTTGCTTCTGGGATGAAGAATGTGGCATTCAGAGAAGAAAACTGCTTGGACTTCCCGTCCTGGAAGAACGTGATCTTGTACAGACTCCTGTTCTTCCAGCTGTGGCACCTCAGCACGATGGGCTCCCCCTCCTGGAACACCCAGCGAGGGGTCTGGAGCAGCACCCAGTCTGAAAGACACAAAGGGACCCTAGGACCCAGGAGGTCTTGACCCAACTCTGAGACCGTCCTTTCCGGTGGGACACAGTGTGTGGAGGGAGGAGCTTAAGCCTGGAATCCAATGGCCCTGGTCTCTAATGCTGGCTCCATCATTTGGGAGCTCTGTAGTCTTGGGCCTCTTCTGGGCCTTGGATTCCGCCTCTGTGGAAATGGACATAACAATACCATGCATCTACAGCAGTTCCTGGCACATAGTAGGTGTTCAGGACAGGCTTGTCTTCTCTTTCCTGTCCTGGGAGAAGGCAGCTGAAGCTCTGTCCTGCCCAACAGGACAGAAAGGATACAAGAGAGCCCACGGTGCCGTCCCTTCCTTGGGGGAGGGAGGGGAGAGATCCAGTCTGACCTAGGAGATGACATGTGAGGGGACACAGCAGAGACATGTCTTTTGGGAGAGTAGGAAGTCATGGACGTCCAAGAAGTATTAGCTTATTGGATGTATGTTGGTAAATGTGGAGTTTTACTTCAGCAAGGTCTTTGTCTGACAGCAGCAGCGTCACCTTGGTCTGAAGGTGGGTCATTAGCCTGCTGTGTCCTTTTTCCCTCCCAATGTTCATCCTTTTACTGAGGAAGAAAAAATATTTAGCATTTTTGTTGTATAGGGAATAAAGCCTAAGGTAGACATTTGTACTCTTGACCTCAGCCCACGTGCTCCTTTTCCCTAAAGCTGGAGGACGAAGCAGAGCTGGAATTGGAAAGAGAGGTAGGGTAGAAGACAACAGCAGAATTAGAAGGGGGAACCCGGGTGGCACAGTCGGTGAAGCGTCTGCCTTCGGCTGAGGTCATGATCTCGGGGTCCTGGGATCGAGACCCCGTGGGGCTCCCTGCTCAGCGGGGGGCCTGCTTCTCCTCTCCCTCTGCCCCCATCCCTGACTCATGCTCTCTCTCTCTCTCTCAAATAAATAAATCAGCCACACATGTTCCCAGCAAGCACCCCCTGCAGCCAACCAGGATGAGGCCAACCAAGTCTCTGCACTGGCTGGTGACGTGACCACGGATGCAGGAGGAGATGCTCAGTACCAATTACAACACAGAGGAAATTCAGCCACGGCTACAGCGGGAAATCCAGGGCCAGAGGGTGGCACCAGGTTTTGCTACTCAGGTGCCACAAGCTAGAAAACCCCACCTCTCTTGTCGGGGAGGCACATCTAGCTTCCACCCATTTCCTTGCCTTACCGTACTGCATATTCCTCCTCTTGGAGAACCGAGACCCTGGCTGGACACTGCACTCCGGGATGAGGCTGAGCCGTCCTGGTTCCCTAGACTGCCTCTCTCATGAGATTGGATTAGGGCAGGTGGGAATGCTGAGAATTGTAAAGCTTTGAAAAAATAAAGTAGAACCCAGAGAAAATGCCCAAGTTGCCATGTAGCCCCAGCAACCAATTCCTGCCCTTCTCTTCCCTGTCGAGGTAATCCCCACCACAGAAGACCTACATGGCTGGAATAGCTTTTCTTCCCCGAAGAGTCTCTGCTGGCACCAGGTTATAACCTGGATAATGAGGAGTGTCTGCCTTCGGCTGGTCTGTGCAAGGGGGCCACCTTAGCTCTCCTTGAGGACATTTATCTTGGTGCAGATCTGGAGAGCAGGGGCCAGCTTCCTGTTTGCGGCACTCATAAGATGTTCTTCAAGTAATCAAAGGGCCTTCCCATCCATCTGGAAGCGAAACGCCCCTGCAATCTCCTGGAAGCCTTGTAGAGAATGAATAAACACCCACAGCTCCTCCACACCCCAGTGGCAACACAGGGACACACTCAGCTCGGTGGGGGGGGATGCCCTCCCCTCCTTGCCTTCCTGCAGGGGCAGGGACACCGATGTCAGGCCTCAGGAGCTTCCCTCCGGCCTGTCACTTCCTGTTGTGCGAAGAGAGTGGGGGCGACAGGCCCGCTGTGTGCTTTTGAGGAAAATTTAGGCATCCGGGGAGGGAAGGGGACTACATGAAGAGTAACAGTGACAATATTCATCATAGTCTCAGGGTGGCTCTTCTTTACGGAGAAGCTACTTTTTGCCAGAAGCTTTGTAAAATCATTCATCTGTTTAGCCAACATTTATTAAGCCCTGCCCTTGTCAGGGGCTGGAAATGCAAATATAGTTAAAACACAACTTTCAGGGGATGCCTGGGTGGCTCAGTCGGTTAAGCATCCAACTCTTAGTTTCAGCTCAGGTCATGACCTCAGGGTTGGGAGATCGAGCCCCATGTAGGGCTCTGTGCTGGGTGTGGAGCCTGCTTGAGATTCTCTCTCTCCCTCTGCCCCTCCCTCCCTCTCTCTCTAATTAAAAAAAAAAAAAAAAGATCAAGACAACTTCCAGCTCAAGTTGCATGGAGAGCAAGGGGGCAGGGAAATGCTGATTCCCACCAGGACCTGGGGAGGGAGGCATTAATACCCCCACGAGCAGACAAGGAATCAAATCCAAGCGCAGACAAATCACCATGCTCACATGGCTAGTGGGGTCCAGGCCGAAGACTCAGTTGTGGTCTGTCTATGCTTTGTGATGGCTACAAAAATGGGTTTTTATGTAGTCAGAATTTCTTTCTGCTTCTCTCATACCCTACGTGCTTGTTTGTAGCCTTGTAACCTTCTTGCTCCATCAGGATTGAGGCAAAACAACCTATTCTGAGGAATTTCTTAAGACGGTCCACCACCACCACACACACTAAGCAAAGGGGGCGGGTGAAAAGGGAAGCAAGTGGACGAAAACAGCTTCCAACAACTCACAGCACTGATTCCCAGGAAACAGGCTACCTCCCTTCCCTAAAAACCTCTGCCATGTAAGCAGATTTCATCTTTCCTTGTCCTCCCAGACCCTCCCCAGCCCCTTCCTCCACTGACCGGAAGTCACGTCCAGATGCACAGGGTCACTGAGGCTGGTCTGGTCCGTCTGACACCTGTATTCCCCGCTGTCCTGTTGCCTGGCCTTAAAACTGTAACTGGACTGGACCAGGGTTGGGATGGAGCTCCCATTATGGAACCACTGGGTGACATGGGCCACAGCGGTGTGGGCCCCCTGGCACTTCAGGGTCACGGGATCCTCCTGGAGTACATTGACCCACGGGGGCTGGAGGTCCAGCACAGCCTTTGGGAGACCTGCTGAGGGGCAGAGAGAAGAGGAAGCAGGAGGAAAGGGGACCCCAAGAGCCTAAGCAGGCCCCCGAATTTCAGATAGTAAAGCACCTCTGGTTCTTCTGAGGACATCAAGAGTGGAACCTGGCCCAGAACTCTTATGTAACTGTAGGTAATTCCTCTTACTCATGTGTCCTACCACAGGGGCCTCCGGGAAGCCAGGTCCACTCAGGGAGCTTGACGGTTCCTCAGGAAGAGATGGCAAGGTAAGAGACAGGGAGAAGGGGCAAAGCAAACACTAGAAATATATGTATACCTCACCAGGGGTCATCTGAAACAGTTCTTTCTTTCCTTTTTTCTTCCTTCCCTTCCTTTCTTTCTTTCCTTTCTTTCCTTCCTCTCCTTTCCTTCCTTCCTTCCTTGCTTCCTTCCTTCTTCTTTCTTTCTTTCTTTCTTTCTTTCTTTCTTTCTTTCTTTCTTTCTTTCTTTCTCTCTCTCTCTCTCTCACACACACACACACCACATACATAACTTTCTAGAATTCATTTTGTTCCCCTGTAAACTGAGGCATTTTGGATACTAACGGATAAACTCTCTCCAGAGCCGGATGAAGGCATCTGGTGGAGGTATCCAGCATGAGTTAGACATCAGGTTTCTGTTCTGACCTGATGTCAATCTTGGTCCCTTAGAATAGACCTAGCCTCACAGCCAAGTACAGAGGAGTCTCTGTGGCCTCAGAAGGATAAAGAAAGAGAAAGGCTGGAGGGCCAGTCTAGGGAGCCCTGGCTTCAGTGCCCCAGGGAGAGCCGCCCCCCCCGCCCCCCCCCCCCAGGGAGCCCTGGGAGGCGGGGAGCTGATTGGTATAGAGAAAGAAGTGCCCGGCAGAATTTACTTCATCAAGCTGCAGTCAGTGATCTCTCCTCCTAGTTCTGAACAGGGAAACAGGCCCTGAAGCCCTCAGATACATGCAAAGTGGGGGATTTACCAACACAGGGAGATAACCTAAGCACAGGATGGGATTTTGCGTGCAGCTGAGACTAAAAATGTCTGGGCTTTTGATTTTACTGAGAGAGAGGATGAGTTATTTTCTGTGACAATATCTGTGATTTCTCATCCTAATAGAACCAGAAGGGTTAAGCACCTGTGCGCCATGGAGGCCTATCCTCGGCTTCCCCGGGAGGAGGGGAAAGAGAAAGGAGAGAGGGAGAGAGGGCGGGGCATCTCCTTCCTGGCCCCACCTAGGTACTGGGTTGCTGGTGCATTCAGGGCACCTCCGGGTGCTCGGGGTGCTGGGAGCACAGGAAGAGCGTAGCTGGGGGAGGGAGAGGATGTGGGTGGAGTACTTACCAGGTGTCCCAGCGACTGGAGCTGTAAGAGAGAAAGCAAAGATCAGCCCAGAGTTTAGATTTGATGATTCATCATTACAAGAATCACTTCCAAAAAAAAAAAATCCCTTCCATGCAAATCCCCTTAACTCCTTTGCCCTTCTCTGTCTCTGTTATTTCCATCCTCTTATGCATCACCAATTCCTCCTTCTCAGCTGGACCTTTCCCATCAAAAGAAGCATATTCCAAGATCTTTCGTTCAAAAAAAAAAAAAAATCTTCTCACTTGATCCCATATATAATTCCAAAATTATTTCTCTGCTCCCTTTCATAGGCAGATTTCTTTCTTTTTTTAAGATTTTATTTATTTATTTGACAGAGAGACACAGCCAGAGAGGGAACACAAGCAGGGGGAGTGGGAGAGGGAGAAGCAGGTTTCCCACCAAGCAGGGAGCCCGATGCGGGGCTCGATCCCAAGACCCTGGGATCATGACCTGAGCCAAGGGCAAATGCTTAACCACTGAGCCACCCAGGGGCCCCCATAACCAGATTTCTCAATTTTTTTTCTACATGGGCTATGCTCATTTCTAATCCTTCCATTCACTGTTTCATTCTCCACAATTTGGACTCTGCCTTCACCAATCCACTACAACTTTCCTCTCTTATTCTTTCCCAGGTAAGTGCACATCTTCACCATCTCCCCAGTTACTCGTGCCTGAAAGCTGTAAGTCACCTTTATTCCCCTCTCTCCCAAGCCCCGTCCCCCTTCACCTCAGTGAATCTTGTTGATTCTGCTTCCGACTCAGGCCTTGAGTCCATCCACTTTGCTCCATGCTCATGGCTGCCATGCTAGTTTAAGTCACCACCAGTTTTCTCCGCCTCCTAACTCCTCTCCTCATTCCTTTGTCCCCCACCATCCACTTTCCACAGAAAAGCTAGAGTTTTTTGTTTTTGTTTTTTTAATATCAGGTCCAATAATATCACTCCCCGTCTTAGAAGCCTTCAAGGACCTTCCTTTGCTCTTTTTTTTTTAAATTTTATTTATTTGAGAGAGAGAATGAGAGAGAGAGAGAGAGCACATGAGAGGGGGGAGGGTCAGAGGGAGAAGCAGACTCCCTGCTGAACAGGGAGCCTGATGCGAGACTCGATCCCAGGGCTCCAGGATCATGACCTGAGCCGAAGGCAAGTCGCTTAACCACCTGAGCCACCCAGGCACCCTTCCTTTGCTCTTGAAATAAAAGTACATCTTTACGAGGCCACACAGGACAGGACAAGGGCCCTGCTCACCTCTCCTGCCTCATCTCAAGCCCATCTTCCCCTACTCATGGAGCTCCCATAACACGAGCCCTCTTTAAGTTCTTCACACTTGGGGCTTTTGTGTATGCAGATCCCTCCTCTAGACCTGTTTCCTTTATCTCTTCAAACAGCTAGATCCTTGCGGAGCTCAAAGTCCCAGCTCAAGTGTCACCTCCTCAGAAAACGCTTTCCATATCATCCTGTTTATCATTCTCTCTTCTTCCCCACAAAGGCTATTCTTATCACAGTATCCTGTTTATATCTTCCTTGCCCTTTCTAATTTGTATTTATGCCTGTGTGTCTGTTTATTTGTTGTTTAGATCTCCCAGAAGATCTAAGAGGGCAGTAGCCATAACAATTTTATTTGCCAGTGCTCTGGAAATCACTTATTGAATGAGTCTAGGTGCGAGATAAGAGGGGCCACAGTTGTATTGATAATAGGAAATGAAGAAGATATGCACATGTGAGAAATTTTTTTTAAGATTTTATTTATTTGTTTGAGAGAGAAAGAGTGAGAGAGAGAGAGAACTCGAGCTGGGTGGGGGGCAGAGGGAGAGGGAGAAGCAGACTCCTCACTGAGCAGGGAGCCTGACTTGATCCCAGGACTCCAGGATCATGACCTGAGCTTAACCGACTGAGCCATCCTGGCGCCCCCACATGAGAGAAATTTAAGAGGCAAAACTGGGGGAAGCTGGCACTTGATGAGAGTGGGAATAAAGTAAGTGGATGGCTAGGGAAAATGTTACTTGTGCTCACACAAATATAAATGTTAGGAAGAGGAGTACATTTGCAATGGGAAGATGATAAGTTGAGTTTGAATATGTTTTGTTTCTGAACCGGCATATCAATGTGGAGGTGTCCAACCAGCAGGTGGAAACACGAAATTGTAGCTGACATAAGCAAGAAAGACAGGTTTGGAAGCTGTTGACATAGAAGTGATAGCTAAAAACCAGAGTGTTGGATTGGCAAGAGGGACAGTGCAGTAGGGGAGCAAATAAAGAAGTAGAACCTAAGAGGAGGGGAAGAGGAGAAATAAGAAAGAAATGAGAAGAATGGAGAGAAGTCATTAGCCATTTATTCATTCCACAATCAACAAATGGTCATGAATACACACTCAATAGAGTCATTGTAAGGGAGACAAAGACCTTATGCTTTAGGTCAGGAAGGCTGTCTGTCTTGTTCATTGGTAAATCTCCAAGTCCTAGAACAGGGCCTGTTCATGCATTTATTTAATGTTTAAACAAGGCAGTTTGTGGAATCTGTAGAAAGCAGGACATACAGTGTCCACATTGCCTGGCTGTAGAGGAAGATCCACTTGGGGGCAATGGGAATGTGGTGAAGAGGGTGGAATGGGGGCCTTAGTTAGTAGGTAATGGAGCAGTTCTGGAGGCATTTCTGAAGTGCAGTGACTCAGCTGCACTTGAAGATGTCATGGCCTCGGTGTGCAGCACAGATTCAGAGGAGAGGAGACAGGAGCAGTCGAGATGGGGTCAGAGGCTGTTGTCAAAGCTGGGTTATTGAGGGATGAAGACCTAAATATGGTGGTCCAAATAAGAATGGGGAAAATGGAGCAAATCCTTGGTGACTTAGCAAAAGGACAAATGGAAGAAAAGATCAAGTCTTGCCCAGAAGTCTTGCCCGGGTGACTGGTACATTGGCAGCACCAACAGCAGAGATGGAGAAGCATCTCATCTCTCCAGGCCTGAGCTTCCTCACGTGAAAAATGAGATAGTCTAATGCTCCTTTCACATGTTATTCTACTTCAGTCCATTTTATCCTGCTCATGAAGGAATACTCTCTCTTCCTCACCTCTGCTTCCTATCCCGGTATCATTCAACATTGAGGGCCTAGGACTCCCAGAGATGACCAGATTTTATTATCAGTCATAACACCTAACTCCAGAGTGGCTACATGTCTTCCTCTGGGGCTATCCTAAGGTTTTTTTGTGGGTGGAAACTCTAGGAATTGAGCTTGGAGAGACAATCTTACCAATAGGGCTCCCCTAGCTGGCCTCCCTAGACTTCCTCCCACCTGGCATCATCAGTCCCTGCCCCTCCATCTTAGCCTAGGACCCTGACTTTCTCCCTGATCACAACCAGGATCTATCCCCATGTGTGTGTACAAGGAAGCATGGGTGATTTCTCCGGTCCTACAATTGATGATTCCAGAATTGCCCAGGTTGTGTGTTCTCTGAAACCCTGTTCCCTGGATAACCCAGACCCTCTTTGCTTCTTCCCAGGGAAATCTAACACATAAACAGAATAAGCTTCTGCTGCCTAACAGAGAATGTCTACTGCCCCTCCGCCAAGTGTCCTATTGCTTCTTCCCCACCCCTAATCTAAGACAGCATTAGCCCTTCCACCTAAGATTTGGTCCCTGTGAAACACAAATTTTTAAGGAAGGAAAACACCCTGGTCACTAGGTCACTAGACTTTCCTTAGAGCAGGTTCAGATGTAGGTGGTGGCAGAACATCAGGGACCTGGCTGCCCTGTGATATTGGGCAAAAGACACTAAAAATTAAAACAAAAACTCTGCCAATTTTATCATTTGCCAAGATCAGTAAGATTGTCAGAGTTTGATCTTCATCAGCCTGCTTCACCCTCCTCATTTTCTTGAATGCTTCCCATGCTACCCCTCATCCTTGCCAAAGCTCAGCCTGACCCGGGGAAGCAGCAGCTGAGTTAGGAAAGTGCACCTGCCTCTGTCCTTCATGAGGACACCGACTCACCCAAGAATAGCAGAGCTGTCCACAGCAGCATGTCACCCAAAGGATGGCAGGGCACGCAATCAGCCCAGTCACTATCAGCAGCAGGGATGGGGAGGAACGAGGGGATCCGCATCACTTGCTGGCTCACGTTGGCTCCAGCAGCACCAGTGTGGCAGGCAGAGACTTCTCTTGAGACTTGACAGATTCCACCCGAGAGGACAGACAAATTCTGAAGTCCAAAAGAGGAAGTGAAAAGAAATGTTGTTTTATCATAGGCTCCTCCCCTTCACCCTTTTTCCTCTCAACTGTTCCCTCCCAGAAGATTCAGAGCTTCCCAGAATGGGTCTGGCTTAGCCCAATTCCAAATTCACAGAAATTTTAGAAACTGGGAAACAACGTCTTCCTCTTCGTTTGGGACACAGCTAGGCTCAACCTCTGGGAGTAAGAGGGGAATGGTCACCCAAATCCAGCTCAGAACCTCCTATCTGTTCCTATCTCTTTAGAAAAGGCAACGGAGCAGAATGTACAGCCAGTCTTCTCTGACTTCTAGCTCCATTTGGAGGCCCAGATGCTCCTGAAACTGATGATGGTGGTCTTGAGGCCACCCACCATCATTTGATTTTCTTTGTTATCATGATCTCTGACTTACTCCTAGATTGTGGAGCAAGAACAAGGATGTGTGTCAGGGTGGCACTAGGGTGGTTACACTCATTCTCTTATTCCCCTCTGGCATTCATTCTTTTTTTTTTTTAAGATTTATTTATTTATTTATTTGAGAGAGAGCACACACTCATGTATGTGCACTTGCAGGGGGAAGGGGAAAGGCAGAGGAGAGGGGTACAAGAAGACTCCGCACCGAACGCAAAGCCAGACATGGGACTTCATCTCACAACCCTGAGATCATGACCTGAGCCAAAATCAAGAGTTGGATGCCCAACTGACTGAGCCACCCAGGCACCCCTGGCCTTCATTCTTTTGTTTGTTCCTTCAACAGAACACCAACTTGTGCCCTGGTTCTTTATCTTTACCATCTTCAATTCCGTCACTGTTCCTATCACCATGGCGAAGGAGCTTGGGCCTTGGAGCTATATACGTCTAGTTTTGAACACCAGCTCAGATTGCTTGTCTATAAAAATGAAGGTAATCATGCCTACCCTTCAAGCAGGATTTCTCAGCCTCAGTATTTTTGACATTTTGGGCCAAATAGTTCTCATTGTGAAGAACTATCCTGTACATTGTAGAATGATTAGGAGCATCTCTGGCCCCACCCTAGATGCCAGTGGCACCCCTACTTGTGAAAATAAAAATTTCTAGACATCGACAAATGCTCTCTCAAAGGCAAAATTGCCCCTGGTTGAGAATCACTGCACTCAAGGTTTTTGGAAAAGAAAAGAAAATTTGAGTACTAGCAAAGTGCCTGGTGCATCATGCGTATCCAATGAAGGCTTGTTTCCTTTTCCTGCTTTCTGTCATCATCCTCATCACCGTTTGTTCACCCTCAACATCCCCAGAACATAAAATGCTCTTCTTGGGGCCCCTTCCTGGGGCCTCTTTCCCAAATGCCCTCACAGGAAACAAGCTGTAAGACTCAAGGAAATAACACTGTAAAATCTCTTCTCATACCCATAATCTTCAGAAATCCTCAGCCCATCAGCCACAGGTTTTTATTACTGGCCTCATTCAATGCCCCTACCCCAATCTACTTCCAGCCCTTATCTGATTTTTAGGTGAATTTCTTGACCAGTGACAAGACTCCAGTGATCTGACATCAATACTTCAAAAATATCATTAGAAACTGGTAAAGTTAACTTGTATATCAAGTGGAAGCCCCACTGCCAGTGGCCTGGCCCATGTCACAAAATCTAAACCTAAGTCAGCTTGCACTTACAGGAAACACCTGTCAAGGAAACCTCACATACACCATCACAATCTTCCAACTCAGCTTTAGCTAGCTTACCTTATCCTAAAAAATAGGACCTGCTGACCTCATAGGGAAATCCCCAACCTTCTAGCCAATCAAGCTATTTTCTAGTTGCCTCTTCCATTACTCTATAAAACTCATTTTTCCATCAAATCCCTCAGGAAGAGTTCTCCACTATTTGTGAGGCACTGTGCTCTGCCAATCCATGGAATGTTTTCCCTTAAATAAAGGACATCAAACTTGTTATTAAATTGTTTTAGTTTTGTCATTTGGCAATGAGGATGGGATCCCAAGACCATTGCTGAAGATTCTGGGGTTGGTGCCTAGATGCATGTGAAGGTCCTCACAGAGCTATTTTGGTTTGCTACCTCTTTGGTTGCTTTCTGGATCTCTGGTGAACTTCTTTTGGATTGAGCTCTGCCTGTATCATATGCTGAGCTCTTTGAGTTTGTTTGTTCTAATCCTTCCAGGTGAAAAATTGGGGCATGAGAGACTGGATTTTTCACAGTGAGACCTAGTAGGCTACAACATTTGGGTTTGGAGCCCACCTCATCTTCAAGGTAAGTGTCTTTTGGAGGTACTGATAGGTTTCTGGGACTGTGCTCAGGCAGCCTAAAACAGTAAGTCTTGTTGAATTAGGGGGGATTATTTCAACAAGGGAAAATAATGGGTCCTCCTCAACCAAAAGAAAGCATGATGGCAGCCATTAGGGGACTCACAAAGCCTCAAGGCAAGTCCACAGCATAAACAACTGGAGGACATGGGGAAATAAATGAAGACAAGATATTTGGACTTTTTTGACCAACAGCACATCAAAATCTAAATAGGCACAAGTCAGACTATTCAAGTCCATTCAAGGGGCACCTGGCTGGTTCAGTCGGTAGAGCATGCAACTCTTGATCTTGGGGTTGTAAGTTTGAGCCCCATGTTGGGTGTAGAGATTACCTAAAAATAAAATCTTAAAAAAAAAATAAAATCCTTTTGAGTGTCTGCCACTATAAAGAAATATTCTTGTAGCGGAGAGGTGTATATTCTTGTGAAAGGGATAATAGATCTATTGCTAATGAGAATCTTAGAAGCCAAAACCACAAAATTAGTAGGCATGGGTCAAAGACTTAAAGCTGTTAGAGCACTTACCACCCAAATCTAAGATACCCATGCTAGGATATGTTGGTCATGGAACAGGTTAGATTGACACTAGGTTCCCTGGCAACCCAAGAAAATTCCCAAGCAGTGATGTACACTGTAAAACACTGCACAATCCTCAACCCTGTGGCACATCTCTCTTAGTTACTAATCTGACTCTGTGAGACATAAGGCTTAACTAAAGATATGGGATCCTCAATTTTCAAAGGATCAAGCATGTCACCTTCCAGCATACCTGCTTAGTTGATGTCTAAGAAGCATGGTCCTGGAAGCTGTAGACATCTATAAAAATGGCAAAATCTTATTAAGACAAGCTAGAATTACAATGGCTATTATGGGAAACATTCTAGTTTGACAAGATCATTCATTTAAGAAGTGCACTTGAAAGTAAGGTTTCCAATTCAAACAAATATAATGGGCTACCTATTTTAATTGGTATGAAGAAGCTTCCAAAAGTCTTCAAGATTCCAAAACTTGGAATAACTTCATTGAAAGATTTACTGCAAAAGGCTAATGAAAAGTGAAAGACACAAGAGGTACCTAAAACAAAAGACTGAGACCAACATGACTCCCACTATTTCCCTCTATCCTTTTTAACTTGAGTACTCACAGTCTACTAGTCTTCTATCTGAATTGTCTTTCCACTCTGAAAAGACTACAAGGCCATAAACAGAAGTCAGCCAAGTTAGTAGCCTTACAGACACCTCCATATCTACCCTCAGACAAGGGCCTCCATATAAGCCCCTCTGAGGGTTGACAGGACTCAGGAATTCTCCAGCAAATTACTACCTGGTATTCTCTTAAACAGCCAAGGGGAAACTAAAATTAAATTTGTGGAAAACCTTTCCAAATTCTGATAGATAATGGAGCTACACTTTACTTCAAACCCCTCTCATTCTAGAACCTGCAGATGGGATCTTGGGGAAACTGGCAAAAACTGGCAAGAGTGAGAGTTCTTTTTTTTTAATTTTTTTAAATTATTATTATGTTATGTTAATCACCATACATTACATCATTAGTTTTTGATGTAGTGTTCCATGATTCATTGTTTGCGTATAACACCCAGTGCTCCATGCAGAACGTTCCCTCTTTAATACCCATCACCAGGCCAACCCATCCTCCTACCCCCCTCCCCTCTAGAACCCTCAGTTTATTTTTCAGAGTCCATCATAAGAGTGAGAGTTCTTATCAGAGTCAGCTCTCCCACATCTCTGCAGTGCCTGGTCGGGAGAGGAAAATAAAATTTCCCATTGTTTTTTCCTTTCTAAATTCAGACTCATGAATTTGGTTTGTGGGTACCCACTGTCAATTCTTTCTCTCCCCGGAACACCTACTGTCTTCTTATTTGTCTTGTTTTGTGTCCTGAGAACTTGATGTGGCAACAGTCAGGTTGGAGACCCCCAAAATATGGCTAGTCAGAAATATGGGTTTTTTTAAAGGATTGCCCTTCAACATCATTCAGGCTGCAACCTAATTCTTTGAGGAATTAAAAACAGCTGTTTTGTCTTATGAGTTGACTCTTTATAAGAACAGAAATGCAGCTCTACAAGCAATTCAAAGCCCACTTATCCTTTTTGCCAATTCCAAAACCACTTGTATTCATTTCAAAAGGCTTGTGGTATTGTCAAATTCTGGATTTAGGGAATGGAAGTCCTTCTTGGAGGAACTTGCACTCTTCCCCTGTGCTTTTGAAATATAAACATATTACCCACTCTTCTCTAGGAACTCCTATCCAGTCTATCTCTTTGAAATTCAAACTTTAGGTAGCTAATTCATTTTTTTGTTTGTTTTTTGTTTTTTAGTTTCAGAGCTAGAATTTAGTGATTCATCAGTTACATATAACACCCAGTGATCATTGCATCAAGTGCCCTCCTTAATGCCCATCACCCAATTATCCTTTCCCAACCCCACCTCCCCTCCAGCAACCCTCAGTTTGTTTCCTAGAGTTCAGCATCTCTTGTGGTTTGCCTTCCTCTCAATTTTCATCTTATTTTATTTTTCCTTCCCTTGCCCTATGTTCATCTGTTTTGTTTCTTAAATTCTACATGAGTGAAATAATATGATAATTGTCTTTCTCTGATTGACTTATTTCACTTAACATAATACCCTCTGGTTCCATCCATGTCATTGCAACTGGCAAGATTTCATTCTTTTTGATG